CCGGGGCGATCATCTGAACTGGATTAGGGCATTTCTGGTTGGTCGGAAACAACGTGTCTGTATCGGGGATGATATGTCAGAACGGGTGAATATGACCAGTGGTGTGCCTCAAGGCTCAGTTCTGGGACCATTGCTCTTCATCCTTTATGTTAACGACAGCCTTCAGGAACTCGACTGCGGCAAAATAATGTTTGACGACGACGTTAAGCTCTGGCAAGTCATTAGGGGTCCGAATGATCAGAGATCCCTTCAAGATAATCTGCACCGACTGCAAGCGTGGTCGAAGAAATGGCTTCTAGATTTCAATGTGGAGAAGTGTGCCATCCTCCATCTGCGTCCAACCAGCTCTCATTCAAATGAGAGCCTGAGGAAATATCACCTGAAAGATGTAAGGCTCCCCGCAGAATCCTCACAAAAGGATCTCGGGGTTTGGATACAGAACAAACTGAAACCAACACTGCAGTGCCACAAGGCTGCAAAAAATGCCATGGGAGTGCTGCATGCAATCAAAAGGGCGTTCGTAACCTTTGACCAAGACATTTTTGAGATTATGTGGGAACTGGATGGATGAGATCATTTCCAAAGGCAATTATGCTTTACCCGACGCCCCCTAATGAAAATATTGCTGCAGTTGAGCTAAGGCGGTAATGGCTTGGTAGGACTGTGCAGATGATCTGAGCAGCCGATCTGGAGGCATTGGCATCACTTACAACTAAAGACTCCCTACGCCTGCTCCGTGAAAGCCTCAGATTTGAGTCCATTTCAAATATTTCTGCGATTACTGAGTGAACCGAAACAATTTTATGCATAAGTAAGTTGTTTTACTTAGTTTCCTAAGGGTACTGTCATAGCAAGAAGAAATAAATTTTCGAGCAAGTTATGCGGACAAGTATGCAGACACCACAGCGTTTAGTTCAGGCTTATAATATGGGTAGTTTAATGTGTAAAACTGTTATCGGACAGTGAAGAACAACTGCTTCGTTTATTCGAAATGGCAAAATAAATGTAGTTAACAGGTTTTTAAGGAGAAAAAATTGCCTGAATCTTATAGCCTGCATATCTGGCCACCCATTTTTGTTTTACAATTTGTGATGCAGTAATAGGCAGCCTCCAGCTTTACTCTGCCATGGGACGGTTCAAAAAGCATCCAGCCAAGCAGGGTTTTTATCTCGCACGGCTAGTCCAATGCCCGATGAGCTTCAGTTGCGTCATATCCTATCAGCATATAACCTCACAGTCCGCCAAATCATCGAAATTATTTTGTTAAAATGCGACCACGAGGATGCTACTCGTTGAATGGATGACATGACACTCAGTAGTAATTCGTCGATAGAGAATGTCTTTACGATCTAGATCGACCCGACTCTACCCATTGACCACTGCTTCAGGTCTTCTCTTTCCGAGTTATAATGTTTCGAGTCATACATTGTATTCACGGCAAAGGCTGTCAGCGGTGTCGAAACACCCTTTGACTTAATGAACGTCTGACCCCTTGTTCGATGGACATGTTTTGACACCTCCCTTGAGATTTGCAAACCTAACCGGAACCACTTCTAACTGTCCTGATACATATTTAGCTTGAATGAAAGCGCACAATCCTAATCTGTGTCCGAAATGGCAAGGAAAGTGCTAGGGTTCGCTCGTGCATGATGGTGAGAGCCAGTAATGGAAGGGAGTTCAGGACGCTTGACATCCCCATCTCGAGCTACTTGTACAAACCGACCTATCGCTACCCTAACATACATGTCCGCTAATTCTTTGAGGTCTGAGAAGCTGGGATCCCTTTCATTCGCATATATCCTCTCAGTCACTTCTGCTCGCTAGTTCCATACAACGTGCGGAAATAGACGCACTATCCGTTCTTCGACACTCAGCGGCCGTAAGCCAGACACGTAGTACATTTGCGTCAGTGCCATTTCACAACTTTCCATTCTTATGCACGAGTCTGAAAGCGATTTTGCAGTCCGATCAGCTTGGCGTGCCTGCATGAACAAATCGTCCAGAAGAGGACGGGTGACAACATGCGGCTGTCAAACAAGCTGTTAGGTATTTCCCGTGCTGTTATGTCGCGGCGCCAGACTATCTTGCACTTACCAACCTGTTCACCATTCTTGAGCGTAGTGTTTGTTTATCTGAATGAAAGGAACTCGGTGCAACGCGAAGCGTGAGGCATGTGCTGGACTATCAGGTCGTTTGACGTCTGATTATTAATTCTTTGATAACTCTTGTCTTGTACTGATATCCATAGTCTAGGATTGCAATCGTGTCCCTCGCGTTCGCAACACTGTTGCATTGGCCAACGGGAAGGGCGACCTAAACCAATCTTTTGTTGCAGATCTCGCATCATCCGCACAACAGTGAGTCTCTGTCCAGCGCCGTGATATTCCTCTCCACGTAGACTTCAAACTGGTAAATAAATTCCTCATAATATATCGGGCTACCGTCAAAATAATACAACTGAACTTTTGGGCGGTTATAAAATGGCATTCACCGGACTCCTACACTTGCATGGAGGGCATTAACACCATGTCAGCAATTACTACCCTTAACTGGACACGTTCTGTTCGGTGTGCGCTGCTTCGGAGATGCAGCTACATGTTTAACTGAGTTTGGGGCTGTTGGTGGTCGTCGAAAATTTCTTCGGCCTCCGCTCCAGTCCTACCAAGCCTGGTTTTGGCATCAGAAATGACACATTAAAGACCAGACTTACGCCTAACCTACCCTTCTGCAATTTCTGTTATTTCTAAAGCTTTAACTGTAGCCCATGACCTAAGACTAATAGAAAAGGTGGCCTTGCAAGATTTCGTTGCTCTTACAGCACCCTTGCTTTTCCCACTTCAAAGGTCCTATCTAAAAGGTTCAATTTATCCCTCCTTGAACGCGTCTAGATTTGGTTGTTCCAGTTAACTGGAATGTCGACTGATAAGAAAATCTGCGTGCTATTGAATTCTCCAGTAATCGGAGAGACGCGTGTAATCTGAAAAACAGATTTATGCGTACATACGGCACCGCTGGCTGCGTATTTCTCAGTTTTTCGAATCAGTGTACACAAGCGAGGCCAAGTTCTCTCGTTCACCGGACAAGGCTGGACATGCGCAATTTCTCCTCCTCTCTCAGAGATATCGAGCCATGGAATGCCCCCCGCAGATGTTCTGATGTCACCATCAATAGAAAGTCTTTAACGAAACTTTAATATATTAAGGTCCCGAAATTAACAGGAGTGATGAGAGATTAACCTCTACCCCCGAGACTCACGTCCAGCTTGCCCTGACATTATGAACCCACTTGATTTATTCCAGCCCATATGATTCCTCCGTGCAGTGCACCGACTTCCTCGTCGCAAGTAGGTTACTTAAAGGCTCACGCCTATTTCCCGGAATAAACTCAAGTAAACTAAAGTTCCCACAACATGGAACAGGATTGAAAGCATTAAAGAGGGACGTGGAGAATTCCAAATACTGGCCGAACGGATGTAACAATAGGCATCGGCCAGCGTGGAGGCGAGTACAGTGTCCTTCTTCACTCCATTTGTACATGTGAGCGCTTCTAAGGTCGTCCCGTTGCCCGCGACGCCAGCCAGCATCTACTCATGAAGTAGTCTTGTCATATTGGTAGACCTCTCAGATCATCCAAATATCAGCATGATCCTCCAGAGTCCATCGTGATTTACGATGGTGACGGCCTCTGTCAGGCCTACGAAAGCGGTGTGGAGGTTGGCTTTCACTTCCCGACACTTCTCCTCCAGTTGGGAGGCTGCGAAAATCGCAGTCGTGGTTTCATGGTACTTTCGGAGTCCTTACTGCATTTCTGGAAGAGCCCTAGATCCAGATATGTGTTCAGACGACTGAGGACACGGGCAAAGATTCTTCTTGATGCCAAGGAAGGAGACGTCTTTATGGTTTTCACAGAGTCGCTGGTACCATTTGCGGAGTGTAGATGTCCAGTTGTGGGTCCACGTGATGATCGATTTAGGTCACTTATTTGCTTGCATGTGTAGACTACGCCTAGCGTCTATTAACTTGCTCACAAATCTCATCTGCGACTCCACGAAGCTAGGCTCTGCCTGATGGCTACACCCCGGTAACCGTCTCGACCGGCGTACCAAACCGGTTGAGGGCATCCGTGCGAGTATCTCCGCCAACGGTAGTTCTGCTCCCCTCCCATCACCATTGGCCATATGGACCAAAGCATCGCCATCTCCAAGGTGAGATTTCATCTGAAACCCCGCAGGGGGCCACAAGGTAGGTTATCCCCATGGATATGATGAATATCGCTTGGTTGTCTTTTCCTAATCACTCTTGCATTTAAGCACTCAGAAAGTGAATAACCGAGTGGCCAGGAGACCTACCCATTTCCACTTGTCCTCACACTTTCTCCGCCCTTCTCCTCCAACAGTCGCTTCCTCTACTTTCTCCTCCTACGGCGGGGGCGACATGCAATCCCGGCCAGGTCAAGGGTAGTTCTCTCACCAAACCCAGTGACCAGTAGTGGAGAGCGGCATATGTCTGGTGCGACAAGGCAGCACTGTTTAGGGAGAACACTGCCTTACTCTATGAGGAGGTAGATAAACTACGCTCTAAACAGATGCTGGGTCCATATCCTCTGCGGCAGACCGTGGCTTGCAGACTACTAAACGTGTGGTCGAACACAAAACACAAGATACAACACTCCCTTTCTTACTCTTCTCACCTCCGCATCACCCCACCGACTGTTAGGGTGACTCCGCTCACTCTGGCGGTCCGAAATGTTCGTTCTTTGTATACAATCCGAGGAACAACCGACCAGAACGGAGGACGGCGCTAGCGGCTCGGGAACTGGCGCGCTATAAAGTGGACATCGATGAAATCAGCGAGACCGCCTTCTACGAACAAGGCAATTGGTGAAGGTTGGTGCCGGCTACATCATCTTCTGGAGCGATCGCTTCAAGGCAGAGTGACGGGACGCGGGCTGACATCGTAGGACAACTGCCCTGTCTACCACAGGACATTAACGAACACTCGATGAGCCTCCGCCTGCCTCTATGCCATCCCCTCCCCCCGGTGACGAGCTCTGATGGTACAAGGGACCAATTCTACGAGGACCTGCACGTCCTCCTCGCGTCTGCGCCGAAGGCGGATAAGTTGATCGTCCTTGGTGACTTCGGCGCCCATGTCTTCACATATCATGCTTCCTGGAGAGGAGTGCTGGGTCGCTATGGTCTCGACGGCTCCAGTGACAATGACCTGCTTCTCATACGAACTTGCGCGGAAAACCTGCTCACCCTGACCAACACCTAATTCTTCCTCCAGATGTAAGAAAATGCCACCTGGATGCACTCTCGGTCGCACACTGGCATCCACTGGACTTTGTCCTTGTCCGAAGGCGAGACCAGTGGGACGTGCTGGTGGCGAAAGCGATTCCGTGTGCCGACAGGTGGACCGGCTATCGTATCGTCATCTCCAAGATGGGAATCCGCCTACAGCCTCGCAAGCGGTCCAAAGGTAAGTTGATTGTTACATTGCTATCTCTGCCTGCCAACCATCTCCATTTCAGCAATGAGTTAGCTCGACAGCTAGCCGACCTTCCGTTCGCCGCTGGCGAAAATTCCTCCCCAGAGAACCGATGGTGTCAAATGAGGGATACAGTCCATTCAACAGCAAGTCGCCAACATCATAAGTGGTTCGATGAGAGTGACGCCGCCATCAGCAACCTATTCACCGAGAAGGACCGCCTGCACAAAGCCTACGTAACCCGCCCCATTTACAAAAACAAAGCAGACTTCTACCGTAGTTGCCGCATTGTGTAACAGCGGCTGCGGGAGATGCGGAACGTTTGGACGGCTAGAAGGCCCAAAGGGGATCCCAAGGTACGTGGAGCTAAACGGAAGGAAGAACGTTTTCTCAGCGATCAAGGCTGTCTGCAGTTCCACAGCCAAAGCAACTGCTCCTCTTCTCAGCGCAGACGGAACCACCCTGCTCACTGAGAAGACAAAATTTTTCAGCGATGCACTGAGCACTTCAGGAGCGTCCCCATTCGCCCCTTTGCCATCTCCGAAGCCGCCAGCGCCCGTCTGCCTCGGGTGGAGACCAACGCCGACCTCGACCTCCCGCCAACTCTACACGAAACCATCAGGGCCGTGCAGCAGCTTGTGGCAGTTCGCGTCTCCTTGCCCTCCGCCTTTGTCACGCTGCTTTCCTGTTCGCCTCACACTCCTTGTCGATACGCTGCTGGGACGCACGAGGCTGGTCACTAGCCTCGTGAGTGCTCAAAGCCAATCAACGCTGTCCCTCCTCTGGTTGGTTGGCGGACGCTAGGATAACGAAGGGCGCGCGCACGCACTGGGTCTCAGCACCTCAAATGCGGACACAAATAACAACTAGCCCGGGGAGCGCGCTCGCGGCGACTAGCTACAAAGCCTTTGTGTTCGCATTTCTACAGCAGTAAAGGTTGTCCAAATCGAACCGTCTTCTCTGACTTTTGATTTGGGCATTTTTGGCTTGTCGACCACACCACTATCCGAAAGCTCTCCAGTGGGGAAGCGTCCGGATGGGACGCAATCCCTGTTAAGACCTACAAACACGATGGCCCCCAATTCATGGATCACCTGACGACGCTCTTCTAGGGGATGTGGCGTCAAGGATAAGTCCCACAGGATTTTATGACGCAACAATCGTCAATCTCTATAAGCGGAAGGGTAATCACCAGCTCTGCGACAACCACTGAGGCATCTGCCTGCTGAACATCTCCGGGAAGATCTTTGATCGCATCCTTCTCAACGGCCTGAACAACCATCTGGTACAAGGTCTCCTGCCGGAAAGCAAGAGCGACTTCCGCCGTCATCGTGGGACCACCGACATGATCTTCATCACCCAGCAAGTGCAGGAGAAGTGTTAGGAAATCCGGGTCCGCATGTACTCTACGTTCGAGGATCTAACGAAAGCATTCAACACGGCGAATCGTGAAGGACTGTGGAAAATCAGGCGGGAATTCGGCTGCGCTGGAGCGGCCACCTAGTGCGGATGGACAACAAGCGGCTACCCAGACGACTCTTCTATGGAGATGTGGCAACGGGTTCCCGCTGACAAGGATATCAAGTCCGTCGTTTCAGGTTCACTCTGAAGACTTCCCTGAAGCGTCTGCATATCAACCTGACCGACTCGAAGACCTCGCTTGAGTTCAACCGGCCTGGAGGAAAGTGAAGATAGGCGCAGCGATCTACGAAGCCAACCGCGTCACCGCCACCAAAGCCAAACGCGAAGCACGCAAATCTCAAATGCGCCCACCTCTCAACTCCAACTCTCGACCTCCCCCGACCTGCCCACGCTGTTGACGCACCAATCAGTCTTATAGGACATCGTCGTACCAACTGCAGCACCCGGACTGCACCTTCTGCTGTCTTGTTGTCTAGTTCTGCCTCATCCTCCACGCCGACAACTAACATTGACCGCCCTCCTCATCGCCCTCTACTGTCTCAACATCCGGCACGGCGGCTCCTGCACCCACCACCACTGCACACGCCGGCCACGCCAAACCATTATGCCTTCACCCACCCACATCACACAACATCATCACTTATCAAAGCATCCAACTGACACTTCCCACGCAAGTGGGAAGTGTGCATCTCGGCTCCGTCTCCATGCAACTCCTCTGCTGCATGTGTAATTCGAATCCGATACTACCACGGCGCATCAAGCACTGTGGCTTGGAAGGCTACTGACCGACGACCCAACTCAGTCCACGCAGTCTGCGCCATTGTGTGCGTGTGTGTGTGTGTATGTTTGTGTGAAGTGAAGTGGCAGACTGGTGGACTGAGAAACAGGCTGGAACGGCTCCTCCCTAAGGCGACCTACGGCATTCTCACCCATATGAGATGTACGCCTCCAAACCCCCCGTTGTGTGAAATCCTGGTGCTTGTGTTTGAGGGGTCAGGTCGTGCATGTGGCGTGCGCAGACAAGGTCATTAGATGTATCAGCCACGGCGCCCACCCCCCGCACCTGCCCACTGACCGGCTCGAAAGGTGCTGGAGCATGGAAATGCGAAGGGAGAGTGAGGTCGACGACTCCACGCATTCTCCCCACCATAAACAATCTGGCGCGCTTGAAGCTATCACTGTGCGCTGAAAGCCGGGGCTTGGAAGGTTGCCAACTGGCGGGATAACCTGGACCTCGCGATTGGCCCAGCGTTGTGTGTTTGTTTGGAGTGGCCGACTGGTGGTCCAGGAGTCAGGCTGCAATGTTTCCTCCTTAATGTGGCCTTTATGGCACTCCCACTCCGTAGGATCCGAGCCAGGTGTGACGGCACGCCTAGGTGCGACCTCGGCCGCGCCAGCTCCTTCTGTTGTTGTTGGTTAAAATCCTGGCCACTTGATGTGTGGACCAGGGGGTATGGAGTAGGACGCCAAAGCGCGGGTTCGACCATGCCATCCACCTGCGCCCTCCCTCGCCTCCGGTCTTCTTGACTGTGTCTTGATACCGGGTCCGGTGGGTGAGGAGGAGAGTGAGGTAAATGCAGCGAAAGTCCACATTCACTATAAACTAAATCACGAGCAAGTCACCGTGCCTGCTTCACCTTGTTATGGAGGACACGGTGGTCATCGTCGGCAACGACGATCGAACGATCGGGCAGTGCCTCTTGCTGCATTGCGCGAATGCGACTACATGTGCGCTGCCTATGTGCTGGCTCCTGCACCAACTCTGGGATGCAAGGATGCCCAGTTAGGAGTTGCATCGCCTTGGGGGTGACGGGCCGGTTCATATGTCTCGTGCAGATGGTGGCTGGCACCCGACTCTCACCTATGGCTCCCCGAAACCAAGCTCTGCCTGGCGGCCACAACCCAGTAACCGCCTCCACCAGCGGGCTAAGTCAGATAGGCGTTTCTGGTGTGCGTCCACGCAGCCAACAGTCCTGTTCCTGGTCCATTCCCTCACCCCACCACTTAAAAAGTCAAACGAGAGAAGAACATGCAATTCTGTAGGTTATCCCGACGACTTCGGGTCGTCTTCCCAGTATACAAAAGTCGTGACCTAAAGTGGAATACAACAGCCGCCTGAGATATCTAAACTACCCTATTTTGGGACAGCACTGTCTACCCCCTCGTGAGGAAGGGGCTTGAGGTGCCCTAAAAAATGCTAGGATATCGTGTTCACAGGCTGGCCCCGACTTGCGGACACAAAAGATGCTGTCGAAATCAAACCTCCCATCCCACTCCACAGCTTTTTAGAGTGGTTCTGCCGACTTTGACAACGTGGAACGCTCGTCCACATTTAGAAAATTTGCTGATCAACCGATCAGACAGGCGGAGGTGCTCGTCGTTCGGGAGCCAGCGAACTTTACTATGGACATCGTATCTCTCAGTGAAATCAGACTCTCCTGACGGGGTCAGCTGGAGGTGGGTGCTGGCATTATCCTCGTCATCCGAAAGGACGTCGCGAAACGACCCCGCTGTCCGCCGCATGGTTTCAACGACCTCCCCCCCCCCTCATGACTCTGCGGCTGCTTCAACATGGAACCAAATCTTTCACCGTCGTCAGCGCTTACGCCTCCTCCAATGAGCAGATTTTTGTGAGGAATACGTTCTGCGAAGACCTGCACACCCTCATAGTGACTGTGCGGAGGGCTAACAGTCTGGCTGTCCTTGGTGACGTCAATGTCCGGGTCGGCATAGATCATGCTGCCTAAGGGAGGATGTTGTGTCCCCACCGAAGCGGCGCCCACACTTCCTCTTTCTGCAGGCCTCCGTGGATCACAGCCTCTGCCTTGCCAACACCTTACGCTATTCAACGCGCGTGAAGGCGACGTGGATACGGCCCCGCTTGTGGCGCCGGAAGCAGCTGGGCTACGTCCTCGCCCGGAGGCGGGACCAGAACGACCTGCACATGTTCTGAGATGATGGTTGCTGGACGGACCATCGCCTTGTAATCTCAAGGAAGAGGCCGAAAATCCAACCCCACAGGCGATCACAATACAAGTGGCCATCAGGAAAGTTAAAAAACGTTTTTTTTATAAAAAAAACGCCGCCCGAAGGGGACGCGGTCTAAAGGTGGCAGCTCCATCGTGGAGGCGCAGTGGTGTCAGCTACGGAAAGTCACTCCATCGCCATGAATGTTCTTGGCTGCGCACACCGCCAACATCAGTGGTCCGACGACGAAGAAGAGAAAAGAAGAGGAAGAAGAAGAGAGAAGAAGAGGAAGAAGAATAAGAAGAAGAAGAAGAAGAAGAAGAAGAAGAAGAAGAGGAAGAAGAGGAAGAAGAATAAGAAGAAGAAGAAGAAGAAGAAGAAGAAGAAGAAGAAGAAGAAGAGGAAGAAGAGG